TCAAGGAGCAGCGCATCAGCGGCCTGTTGGTGGCTGTGCTCATTGGTGAGCTGGGGAGGGGTCCCCAGATGGGCAGCGAGGGTCGAGGGTCCCCAGGGACTCTCCCCAGCCTCTCCTTCTCCCCCACAGGTGTCTCCATCCTGATGGAGCCCATCCTCAAGTACATCCCCCTGGCCGTGCTCTTCGGCATCTTCCTCTACATGGGGGTCACCTCCCTCTTTGGCATCCAGCTGTTCGACCGCATCCTGCTCCTGCTGAAGCCCCCCAAGTACCACCCTGATGAGCCCTATGTCACCCGGGTGAGTGACCCCCATGGGGGCCGTGGGTTTGGGGTGTCCTGGGGCTCCCCAGAGAGCCTCCTCCTTCAGCACTGCTGGGTGGGACCCTGCACTGCTCCCCCAGCATCCAACACCCCACAAAGGGTGTGGGGACACTGCCCCTGTCCTCAACTCTCTGCTCCTGCTCCCACAGGTGAAGACTTGGAGGATGCACCTCTTCACCTTCACCCAGATCATCTTCCTCGTGGTGCTGTGGGTGGTGAAGTCCACGCCGGCCTCGCTGGCTCTGCCCTTTGTCCTCATCCTCACCGTGCCCCTGCGGCGCTTCCTGCTCCCCAAGATCTTCCGGGACATCGAGCTCAAATGTGTACGCAGCCCTGGCGCTCCCAGCCCTGCCCCGGCTCCACCTCTCTCCCTGCTCCTGCTCCCATCCTCATCTCCATTTCTGCCTCATCCCTGTCCCTGTTCTCCTCCCCATCCCCATCTCTGTCACCATCTGCATCCCTCACTCACACCCCTGTCCCCATCCCTGCCCCATTCCTGTCCCCATCGCATTCCCCATCCCCATCCCAGCCCCTCCCTCATCTCCAGCCCCATCAGTGTCCCTGTCCTCAATCCTGTCCCCATCCCTGTCCCCAGCCTCATCCCAGCCCCTATTCCCATACCAGCCTCTCCCTCCATTTCTATCCCTGTCCTCCTCAGTGTCGCTGTCCTCAATCCTGTCCCCATGCCAGTCCCCAGCCTCATCCCAGCCCTTATTCCCACACTAGCCCCATCAGTGTCCCTGTCCTCCCTCCTGTCCCCATCAGTGTCCCTGTCCTCCCTGCTGTCCCCATGCCTGTCCCCCTCACGGCCTCTCCTCCCTGCAGCTGGACGCAGATGACGCCGTGGTGACCTTTGACGAGGCAGAGGGGACAGATGTGTACAACGAGGTGCAGATGCCCAGTTAAGGGCCGGCCCCCGGCCCCTCAACGCCCCCCCAGCCCCGCTTCCATCTCCACTGCTGCCATCCTGAGGCCACCGGGCCACCAAGAAGGACTGGGGACACAGTCCCCACCTGCCCACCCTTGGGAATGGAGCCTTTTTTTGTTTTTCCCTTTTTTTTTTTTTTGGTCTATTTTTAAAAGCATTTTGGATGATGTGATCTCACCCCCACTTTGCTGCCTGCTGGGGAAGGGGCTGCCTGGGCTGGCCGGGCCCCACGTGCCACCCTCCACCCGTGGCAAGGTGGGACATGTCACTGTCCTGTCCCCAAGGCCACCACCAGCGTGGGAAAGAGCCGGAGGAAGACCCTGGAGGGAGGAGGAGGAGGAGGAGGAGGAGGAAGGCAGGGACAGAGATACAGCAGGATGGGGTCCTCCCACTGTCCCACCCCCTCCCCAGGGAGCCCCCCAGCCCAGCCCCTCTCCCCAGCTGAACTTTGAACAAGCTGGGACAGACCCATCACCCCGTGGAGCCTTTTTTCCATTTTCTCCATCACTGGCTCCACAGGGTGGTGGCAGCTGCTCCGCTGCACTCCCAGCACATCCCAGAGCCAGGATGTAAATAGCCCAGCAAGGGGGTTTATACATTTACAATGAAAACAATCATGCTTAAAACACACAGGAAAATACTTAAAATTATGCTGATGCTTCTGCAGGTAGAATTCACTTAGAGCCAAGCAAAAATTAAAAAAAAAAAAAAAAAGGGCTGGAAAAGTACCTCAAAAATAGGAAGAAAAATAAGAAAAAGAGAAAAAAAAGAAGCTGCAAGGAGTGATCTGTATATTTGATGCTACTGGGGGGGTTTGTAATTTATTTTTCAGGCTGGTTGTGCCCCCACTGCAGTGGGGCCATGTGCGTGTGTGTATATACTAGAGAATGATAGCAAAACCTAGAATTTTCTAGAAAAGATGATTTTAAAGAATCCTGGTCAGGGCCTAAACTCTATGGACCAGTCTGGCGGCGTCATTTAACTGATAAGTTAGTCTTAATTAGTTAATTAGTCCTCTTTATTTTTATAGCGTTTCAGGTAAATCCATGTAGTTTTTCCTTGATTTTTTCCCTTGCTTGCTCACCGTGTCTTGCCCCATTTCCCTTGGGATTGCTCCCAGTCCAGCCAAGCATCCCCCAATCCTGTCAGGGCTGATTCTGCCCTGGGCAGCCCCAGGGGTTGGATGTGACCAAGGGTTGGATGTGACCAAGGGTGCAGAGCACCAGATCAGGCTCCAAATTTGCTCCTTTTTGCATAAATCAGAGTAGGGGACCCCAAAATCAGTAAGGGGAAAGGGGGTGGGAAGGGGCAGCCACACCCATGGCTGCGCTGCCTCGTGTTTGGGTTGGTTTAGTTTTATTAATTCCATGTCTGAAATAAAAATGTTTTGATCTCTGGGGGTTTCTCCTTCCCTTCCCCACACCTCTGTATTGGGCTTTAATAAACAAATTAATAAAATCAGAAAGGAAATGGGGGTTTTCTTTCCAGCTGGGAATTGTCTGGGATGGTGCCTTAATTCCCCCCCAAAAGAGAGGAGCAGCAGCATCCTTTGAGGGTGTCCATCCCCCCGGAATGCTCAGCACAGCTGCACCAGGATCCTTGCCATGGCATCCCGGGATGTCACCGAATCCCAGAACCCCAAGATCCCCTCCGGAACGCTCCCCAGAATCGCCCCTCGTTGTTCTTTGTGGGGTGCTCCCCACAGCCACCCCACAAAGGGGAGCTCAGCCCCCTGCACTGCCACAGCTGTCCCCGTTCCAGAGGGATTGGGAATATCCCGGCCCAGTGCTGCTGGCACAGGACCCAGAGCAGCCCCTGCCCTTCCCCCAGCCCCTGGCACGGGGCTGACCCCGATTATCCATAATCCCATTAAGGAACGGGCGGCACCGGCGGGGCCGTGGGAAGGGCCGTGCCCGTTCGCCCCCAGCCTGTCCATGGGGCAGGACCTGGGAGCAGCACCCTGGATCCCAACCAAAACCCCAAAGCCTCTCTGAGGGGCTGGGATAAACCCCAGCAAGGCCCCCAGGCTGTCCATGGGGCAGGACCTGGGAGCAGCATCCTAGATCCCAACCAAAACCCCAAAGCCTCTCTGACGGGCTGGGATAAACCCCAGCAAGGCCCCCAGCCTGTCCATGGGGCAGGACCTGGGAGCAGCATCCTGGATCCCAACCAAAACCCCAAAGCCTCTCTGGAATAAACCCCAGCGAGGCCACCAGGCTGTGCCAAGCCCAGCAGAGCCGCTGGCCCCTGTTTTCCAGAGAGGGAAGCACATGGATGGCACTTCCCAGCCCAAGGGCCAGCTCTGTCCCTGTGTCCCTGTGTCCCTGTGTCCCTGTGTCCCTGTGTCCCTGTGCCAGCCTCACGTGGGCACGCCACACTGCTGCCATCCCCAGGGCTGCCACCCCTGCCTGCCAGGCCCAGGGGCTGCCTGCATCTGCCTGTGCACCCCTGGTTCACGTTTCCCAGCCTGGGAAGAGCTCGCTGTTCCCTGGGAGATGGCAGCGAGGTCACCGCCGCGGGATCCAGCCCGGGCTGGGGGTGGGAATTTAGGTCAAGCTCCTCTTTGAACTCGCCTCAGCCCTGGGAAATGGGGAGGGAATTAGGGAAGGTCAGGAGAAACGAGGGGGAAATAAATGCTAATTAATTGGTTGTTAATGAAGCGGGGGGGAGCATGGAGTTCCAGAGGGAGAACCCCAGTGCCTGCAGCATCGCAGGGTGCTCCACGCCATCCACGGGCAGGGGACAAGGGACACCCTGGCATCTGCTGCCAGTGTCACTGCTCGTGCACTGGAAAAGCAGAAAAGGAAACAAAAACCTCCAAACCTGCGGCTTTATTCTCCAAAAATATTAATTGATACAAGCAACAGCACATAAAAAAATTCCTGAGGTCAGAAGCAGAAAAGTAAACAAAAACCTCCAAACCTGCGGCTTTATTCTCCAAAAATATTAATTGATACAAGCAACAGCAAATAAAAAAGTTCCCATGGTCAGGAGCAAGGCCTGGGAAGGGCAAGGAGAGAAGGGGGTGGCATTTGGGGGGTCCCCATTTCCAGCCCACCAGCTGTAGGGTCTGTGGTTGATTCCCAGGTCTCCAGTGTGTCTTGCTGGTAACAAAAGCCCCAAAACCACATTGGGAGAATTGGGACTGGAGCACAATGACAACTCCATTGATTTAAAATAAACCCTGAAAAATTAGAAATGTCAATTTTCACATGTTGGGCCTGATTGGCTCTAAATATTTTCTGTTGTATTTTTTTTTTTATTGGGTTTTTTTTTTTTTTACTTTTATAATTTTTCCCTCTTGCAAAATAGTGACAATTCCTGAAATTCAGGGATCCAGCCCAGGCCAGGCCCTTTTCCACACAGAATTAATACATATATTTTTATTTTTAAGCTCTCACAGGAGGGATTAACCAGCCGGCGCCAGTGCCGCCTGGCCGGGCTTGGCACGGCTCGGGCAGGACGTGGCGGAGGAGCCGCCTGTCCGTCCCTCTGCCTGATCCTTCCCTTCGGAAAAAGCCCAAATAAGCCACTTGCCGAGCCAGGCACTGCCCCCGCACCCCAAACCAGCCGTGTGTGTGTGTGTGTGTTACCCAGATTTAGGGATTATTATATTTATTATATTTCTCTATAAACAGGCGTGAAACCCCCCGGATTGCGGCCATCCCCACGCGGTCAGCCCGGGAGATGCGCGCAGCCCAGCGAGCCGGGTGTGTGTGTGTTACCCACATTTAGGGATTATTATATTTATTATATTTCTCTGTAAACAGGCGTGAAACCCCTCGGATTGCGGCCATCCGGGAGATGCGCACAGCCCCCCGAGCCGGGTAACCCCACGTTCCCAGCGCCCGTCCCCGGCGGGGCCGCGCCGGTGGCCCCGGGGCTGCCGGAGCCGGTCCTGGCCGGGAGCAGCGCCACGGCCGGAGCCGCCCGGAGCAGCGCCACGGCCGGGGCCGCGCGGGCCTGGAGCGGCCGTGCCCGGTGACCGGAGCCGCCCGGAGCGCGCTGGCAGCCGGGAGCAGCCGGAGAGGCCCGGCCGGCCGAACTGCTCGGTGCCGCGGCGGCATCCGGTGCCACGGGAGCTGCCGGTACCGGAGGAGGGCCGGGCGGCACCGTGCAGGAAGCCGCCGCCGCGGCAGCGGGGTCGGTGCTACGGGAGCTGCCGGTACCGGCGGGGGTGCTCGGTACCGCGGCGGCCGCCGGGCCGGCCGGGGGCACGGAAGCAGCCCGGGATGGCCCGTACTGTGCCGGCAGCCGGGATGGCCGGGAATGTGCAGGCGCTGCCCGGCCGGGATTGGCTGCGGGGAATGACGCCCAGCACAACAAAGGTGGAGTTGGAGAAATTCCATTAAAAAAAATTAAGAGAGAGAGAGAGAGGGAGAGGGAGAGAGAGAGAGAGGAGAGGAGAGAAAGGGAGCGGAGGGAGGGAGGAGGGGAGGAAGCTGCCCCTCGCCCGCCCCGCCGGGCAGAGCCCCCCCCGCCGCCGTGTCCCGGGGCCGCGGGGCGGGCAGGAGCGCGGCCCCGCCGTGCCGTGGGGGCCCGGCTCGGCTCCCCCCCCACCCCCCCCCTTCCCGGTTCCCCCCCTTTATTTTTTTTTTCCCCCCTCATCTCTCTTTTTTCCCCCCTATTTTTTTTATTTTTTTTCTTTATGCAAACGCCGGCCGAGGATTGTTGCACATGTAAGGAGATTTTTTTTTTTTTCTTCCTCCCTTCCCCCCCCCCCACCCCACCCCCCCCCTCCTTTCCCTCCTCTTCTCCTTCCTCCTCCTCCTCCTCCTCTTTTTCTTCTCACCACAGTGTTGCAAAAGCAAAGAGCAATAAAAAACCCGGCGGAAAGCGGCGGCGGGGCGGCGGGGCTGGCGGGGAGATCCCGGCGGATCCCGGCGCGCTCAGCCCGGCTGATTGGAAGAGCGAACGCAGCGCCATGGAGGCGGGGGAAAGCGCGATCGTCTCTGCGGGGACTGGAGCGCGTCCACGCCCGGGGCCAGCGCTGCAGAGCTGGCCGCCGTTCAACCGCCGCTCCCCCGCCCCGGCCCCGCCGAGCGAGCCCCGAGCCCCCGCCGCCCCCCAAAGCGGCGGCCCCGCCGGTACGTGCCCGCGCCGGGGGAGCCGCCGCCGCCGTGCCCCGCCGCGCCGCGCCGTGCCCGCCGCCCGGGCTCGCCATTCGCCGCCGCGCCGCTCCGCCGGCGGGGCTGGAGGAGGCGCTTTGTTCCTCCCCGGGCTCCCGCTGCCGCCGCCGCCACCGCCGCGCTCCGGGCTCGGTAAGGCGCTCCGCCGCCGCTCCGACGGGAACGGGGAGGGGGTCGCGCCCACCGGAGCGATTTTTTTTTTTTTTTTTTAAGAGAGAGAGATAGATAGATAAATATAAAAGAGAGAATATTTTTTTTTTTTTTTAGAAAGGCTGGTTTCGCGCAGGCCCCGCGGGCAGGAAGCCGCCGCCGCCACCGCCGGGGCTCGCCCGCCTCGCCCGCCCGCGGGGGGCACCGCGCTGGGGCTCGGGGCGGGGGGCAGCGCCCGGCTCGGCGGCCCCGGTGTGCCCCCCCCTTCTCTCCCTCCTTTTTCCCTTCCCTTCCCTCTCCTCCTCCTCGCTCCCTCCCTCCTTCCCGCTCGCCTTCCCTCCCTCCTCCCCGGTGCCGCAGCTGGATTTCGGGGGCAGGCTTCCAGCGCTGCCCGCTTGTTTTTCCCGAGCCCGGGTGAGTCCCGCGCCGCGGCGGGAGCTGGGCGCCGCGCTCCGCCGGTGCGTGCCGGGGCTCGGCCGACCCCCCCCGCGCTTCATCTCCCCTTATCCTCGCTCTATCCCCTCTTTATCCCTTTTTTCTCCTTATTTTCTTTTTATCTATATTTTTTTTTCCTCCCCCCCCCTTTTTTTTTTTTTTTTCCGCCTTTCACCCCCCTTCCCTTCCTTTCTTCCCTCCGGACCGGGAGCGGGGCTCCAGCCCCCCGCTGGGTGGGTGGGTGTTTGCGGGCTCGAGGAGGGGTCGCGGAGAGAAAAGAGGGGGGTAAGAAAGGGAGGAAAGGAAAGGAAAAACGAGGGAAGGAAAAGCGAGGAGGGGGCGGCGGTGGGGAAAAAGAGAGGGGGGGAGGATCGGGTAGGAGCCGCTCCCCGGGGGTCGGTGCGGGGAGGTCGCGCTGCCCTCGCCCGGCTCGCTGCAGCTGCCCGGCCGCCCCCAGCCGGGCATCCCCGCCCCCCCTTCCCCCTCCTCCTCCTCCTCCTCCTTCTTCTCCTTCTCCTTCTTCTTCTTCCCCCAGCGGCTCCGGCGGCGGGGTTGGGGCTGCGGCGGCTCGGTTAGAGCTCCCCCCCACACCCCCCCCCCCTCCAACCTCCTCCCTCCTTCTTCCACCACCACCTCCTCCTCCTCCTCCTCCCCCTTAGCAGCCCGGAGAGGTGGGTTTGTCTCGGCTTTATAACCGCGGGTGGAGGGGAAGGAGCGGCGGGCGGAGGCGGGCGCAGCCCGGCCATTGTGTGCCGCGGCGGAGAGCGGCCGGTAACGATGGGGGGATGCGGGGGGGGATGCGGTGAGGGGGGGGGGATGAAGCAGCGCATCGCATCGCTCCGGGGGGCCGGGGGTGCGGAGAGGGGCCGGGGGAGCGCTCCGCGTTCCCCCGGCCCCTCTCCGTACCCCCGGCCCCCCGAACTCGCCTTCCATTGTCTGCCCGGGTGTTGTTGGAGGGAAAGAAAAAAAAGGGGGGGGGGGGGGCGCTCAGCTCGCTGGCGCCCGGGTGGGAACCGGGGGCGGGGGAGGCGCCGCCGGGGCCGCCCGCGCTCGGTCCCACCCGGTTCCTGCTGCCTGCTGGAGGAGGAGACTGGAGCTGGCCGGCGGCGCAGGGCATGTGCGGGCTCCCCGCCTCCGCCCGCCGGCCCGGCCCCTTCCTCCCCCGCCTCCTCCTCCTCCCCCCCTCCGGGCGCGGGATCCGGTTCCCCCCCCCCGGCTCCCCCGCGGGGGGATCCCGCACCCCCTCCCCGCGCGCCCCCCGGGGATCCCGGTGCGCGCGCACCGCCCCGCCCCGCCATGATCCCACGGATCCCTCCCCCTGTCGCGATCCCGCCTTTCGCGACACCCCCACGCGTCCCCCCCCCCCCCCCCCGGTTGCGATCCCCCGCTCCCACCGCGGGGCGATCCCCGCGTTCACAGCGCCCGGGGGCCGGGCTTGATCCCACCCCGCGGCGATCCCTCGGCCGGCCCCGGGGGTGGTCCTAGGTCCGCCCCCCGCGGGGGTTGATCCAAGCCTGGAGCGGTTCCCCCCCAATCCCTTCAGGGTTCATCCCGCCCCGGGCGATCCTCGCTCCCACGCTGGAGGGGTCTGAGCGCCCCTCACCCGCCCCCAGGTGATCCCGCAGCCCCCCAGGACGGATCTCCCTCAGGTGGTCCCACATTCGGCCCCGCCGGGGCTGGCCCGGCCCCCGGGCCTGGCGGGGCCTGCACCCCGCGGTGCTCCCGCATTCCCCTCCCGCAGCTCATCTCCCCGGGGCCATCCCGGATGCTGCCGGGCTTTGTGCACCCCTGGGCCGTCCCCGGGTGCTCCTCCCTCAGGCCCAGGGCCCGGCTCTGCCCGAAGCCCCTGGACCCCCTCCCCAGGGCCCCCCCAAGCCTGGATTGCCCCGGGATCCCCCAGGCCCAGCCCCTCCCCAGGCCTGGGCCTGCTCTGCCCCCCAGGCCTGCGGCCTGGCCCTCAGGGGATCCCCCTGAGGCCTCCTGCCCGCTCTGCCCTCCAGGGGCTCCCCCAGTGGAATCCCCCGTGGGGATCCCCCCAGGCTACTGTCCTGCCAACCCCCCCACCAAGTTTTGGGGTCTCCCTCACTAGGTTATCCTTCCCCATGGAGACATAAGATTCTTCCTCATGGGGTCTGAGGGCATCCTTCCCCTGGAGCCCCCCCTGTTGAAATACTTTCCTCCAGCTTGTTCTCCTCCCCTGGAGACCCCTGAATCCCCCCGAGGTCCCCAAATGCCCCCCCAGCTCCCTTGGATCTGGGGGACCTCTCTGTTCTCCAAGCATGTCCCCACCTCTGGGGAGGATTTTGCTGGATCTGTGGTGGGCTTTCCTTTGAAACCCCCATTTTGCAGTGGGGGGAGCAAACCCCCTTACAGGAGATCCCTTGGAGCCCTCTTGCCTCAGATTGTCTTGATCCCAGGTTTTTGGATCCCACCCACCCCAGGGAGCCACCTTGAACCTGTCTCCTCTGGGATTTATGGGGATCCCTCTCAGATCCTACCCTCCACCCTGGGGACAAACCCCTGGACCCTTCTCTCCTGCCCACACACCCCTTTTCTCCACTCCTGACCAACGTGGGGGTCACATCACCACGAAGGATCCCCCACGCTGGAGCTCTCCCCAGACCTCACAGGGGTGGGTGGGAGGGGATTTTCCTGCACTCATTCACTGGGAATGGAGAGGATGGGTGGATCACGTTTCCCCCACTCCCTGTTAGGAGTTGGGGGCCCCCCATCATGGTGGGGATGCCTAGCAGGGTTCTCCTTTTCCTTGCAGAGCCGTGCCGGAGTGATTTCGGGAAGAGGGTGAGGAGGGAGCCGGCGGGACCGTGCTGGGCACAGGCAGGTGGAGGATGAACGGCGAAGCTGAGTGCCCTGCAGACCTGGAAATGACAGCTCCCAAAAACCAAGGTGAGCCCCCGGCAGCCCCCCCCAGCACGTGCTCCCAGAGGAATGCTGCTGCCACGCTTAAAAATAATAATAAATAAACCTCAGAGCGCCCCTTTTCTCAGAGGGATGGCAGAGGAGGAGGGATGGAGAGGGAGGAGGGATGGAGGATCCGTGATCCTGGCTGCCAGCGGGTTGAGGTGGGGGGGAATCTGCCTCTCCGAGTTCTGATCCCCCACGGGGAACACACACACACACACGTGTATGAGCACAGGGATTCATGCTCCAGTGCACCAGCAGCCCCTTGGCACTGGGATGCTCTTGGGGGGGATTGGGAAGGGGGGGCTGGCACAGAGGTGCTGCCCTCCCTGCTCACATCTGGGCTGCATTAAAAGCCGAGCCGTTACCTTGGGCCTCCAGCTTCCAGACCCCAGCATGACATCAGAGCTTCAGCTTTTATTGGAAAAGGAGCAGGAAAACAAGGGAAACAAGAGAGATGTTTGTTTAGGGCAGCTCGCAGGGCTCTGCCACTCCACCCCTTAAAAACCCCCTGGGTCCCCCAAACCTGTGGAGCCTTGTCCAGCCCCTCACACCTGCTGGGTCCCCCCGTTTTCCTCCTTCCCTGCTGCAGTCGGGGTTGTTGCCTCGAGCGAACCCGGGCGAGCACGTGTCCTTCTCCGGGACTTGAGATGGATTTAATTACACCGGGGCAGCTTTCCTAATATAGACCCGGCCCGGCCGGTGCCAGGAGAGCCGGGATAAATCGGTCCCAGGGCACAGACAGCCCCATTCATCCTGGTGGGTGAGCGCCGCAATTCCAGCGTTCCTCAGCATGCCCCAGCTTGAGGGGTGGGGAACAGAGGGATGGAGGGCTGAGTGTAGGGGTCCCTGTTGTCCCCACCCTGCTGCCAGCAGGGATTTTTGGGATGTTTCCACTGGTTTTTAATGTTTTCCTTTGGGATGTGGTTATTCCGGCTGTGTGCCAGCGGGGGGTTCACACAGGGCCAAAGGTCTCCAGGTGTTTCTGTATTCAAGGGGGAAACTGAGGCACTGGGCTTGATGGGGGCAGGTTTGGGGGGATGTCTCATCCTCTACTCCATCCCCTCTGGATTTCTGTGGCTGTGCTGCTTTTGGTAATTCCTCCTGATTTCTGCAAGTAAAGTTGGCACCAGCTTCCCAGCCCGGTTCTGCCTCATTGGTCCTTGCCTGGGAGGCTTGGAAAGTGGACGGGAAAAACAGGAAGACAGAATTTGGGGCTGTGTTCTCCCTCCCCCAGCTCTGATCTCCCCCAGCTCTTTAGGGAATGGGAGTTTCCCATCTCTTTTGCCTCCTCGTGGTGTTTTGGGATGAAGCCATGAGCATGGGGACACACCCCAAGCCACCAGGCCCTCGCTTTCCAGGGGGGCTCTTTCTGTCTTCTCCCTCCTTATTAATTCCTAATGAGGTCACTCAAGGGACCAGCTGGATCCCAGACTGTTCCTGCCTTGACCCTGAACCAGGCAGGTCCAGGAAGGGAAATGGGATGAGGGGGGGGTCATGTCCTGGCTATGCTCCCTTCACCAGGTAC